GACGCAGGGACGGCGGGACGCGGGGGACGTTGGGGAGCGGCGGTGGTGGTGGAAGCACCAGTGCCGTAGCGAGGCTGCACCGGGGCAAAGCTGTCAGGACGGCGTGCAAAAGAAGGCCGCAGTAAGCGCAGGGCAGAATGGCAAATGAGGCAGATGCCGAGATTTGTACCGTGTGCATCGGGCAGGGTGGCTATGACGTAGCGCGCCTGGCCCAGCGCGAGGCGTGTTGCACCAGGGCCAGTTGCACTGGCGCGCCGTCGACGTGTTTGTTTGGTCCATGCTAGCCTGTCTCTTAGCCAGCCGTGCTATAGCTGGAACGCATCCCATGGCGGATGAAACGGCCTTTCTGCGCCTCGGCTGCCCGTCTCAGGAGTGTCGGATGTGCGCCCCGCCGCCGTCGTCGTGGTTTGCTGGTGTGCGCATCTATGTATGTATGCATGTCCATATCCATATACATATATACATCCGTATCCGCGTGGGCGTGTACGTGTACATGTACTTACACGCATACATCCTTACCTACATCCGTAGGCATGCATGCGAGCCTGGGCGTGGGCATGGGGAAAAAAAAGGGAGACAATGGGGGGGGGGTGTTCATGCAGTCGGCCTTCTCTCCCAGCTCCCAGCCTTGTGGAGGAAGGGACCCGGCGCGGCGGTTCCGCCAGGCTAGCGACGACGAGCGTGAGCGTGTCAGTGTCAGTGTCAGTGTTTCAATCTGGCTGCGTGGCGGTCCTGTCTCGCGCTCCCCGCACTCTTGTCGCCCTCTACACACACACCACCTCCTCAGCCTGAATCTCTCTGCTCTGGGGCCATGCACCCGTCCCTTGCAACGTTGCATCGGCAGCGACCCATGCTGTCGCTCAGCCGGTAGCTGAAACTGCTCCTCGTCGTGCTGCACCCATCTTGGCTCCTCCCACGGGCGGCATGGCCAGGTGCAACGTGGCGAGAGCAGCCGTTGCGGGTGGGCGGCCCCTTGGCCTCCTTTCCGCGTGCCTTTGCCCTCGCCGTCCAGGTACACGGTCGTCTACATGTACTAGCTGCTCGCCGTACGTCTCGGCACCTGGTCTGCTCCACGAGCCTTTTCTGCGCCGCACCTCATGGCACGGCAACTAAGAGCCAGCATCCTGTCGGACCCTGGGCGAACCACGCTTCTGGGAGCGCTGTCGACTCCAATGCCCATGGGCGCCATGTCGACTGCGTCCCGTGTCGCTGACTGCATCAGCATCGCTTAGCCCATCTGACAGGTCGCTTGGCCCCATTTGTCAGCGCACCCAAGCTCTTTGCCTCTGGCTGCATGCATAGCAAACACGGCGCGTTCCTATTAATGTGCACCGCGGTGGAGGCGTCTGGTGTTCGTGTGTGCGTGTGCGTGTGCGTGTGCGTGTGCGTGTGCGTGTATCCATGAGCGCAGGTGGGTGGGCAGGCGTGCGTGTGCGTGTATGGGAAAGCGATGTGGGCTATGGCGCGGCAAATGATCTGCAGCAGTGCCCTGGTGACATGGCCCGCGGCCCACCTGCTCTGCGGACAAGCTTGACGCTTGACCCAAGCACGCGTGCCCTGCCATGGGGCTCGTCGCCGGCACCTGTCGTGTGTACACACACACACACACAGCTGGATACGCACACGCCGTCTTGGCTCCAGATGCTGCCGTCGTCGCCGCAGCACACGCAGCTTGCCGGCACAAAGGTGGGACGGTGTCGGCAGGCCCCTTGCGTCACCCTTCCTGTACCGAACGACGACATGGGCAGCGGGACGGCGCGCGGCGCTGCAACAGAAAAGTGTATCCATGATGCCGCCGTGGCCGTGCTCTGCAATGCGCGCCCTCGTGCTGGGTCGAGGTTGGGCGTAATGAGGCCGGGCGGAGGGCTGCTAGCGGCCATGGCTGCCAACGGGCCTGGCACCGGTACCGGAAAGCGCGCCTGAAGCAGCGTCGTCGAGGGCGCCCGGCTGGCACCAAAAAGCAAACCTTGGATGCATACGATGATGACTCTGGACGCACCACGCCTGGCTCAGTCTCGCGTAAGCAACCTGGAGAGCAGACGAGGCGAGGGAGCGGGTGCTGGGGACCGCGGAGATTAAGCCCTCTGCGCGTCGTATCATGTGGCTAGTCAGCGTCGGGCGTGGATGCGAAAGCGTCGCTTGTGCCGACGAGCTGATGCTATACGTACGTACTGTGTGTGTGTGTGTGTGTGTGTGTGTGTGTGGATGTGTACAGTATAGCAGGCGTAGGGCGAGTACGGGGCAGGGCAGGGCATGGCATGGCACGGCATGGCTTGCGTGGACGCGGTCAGGCATGGGCGCTCCATTGGCCATTGGCGGCGGCGGCGGCGGGCATGGTGCGGAATGCCATGGCAGCGCTGGTGCTGGTGCTGGTGCTGGTGCTGGTGCTGGTGCTGGTGCTGGTGTGTGGGCGTGGGCGTGGGTGTGGGTGTCGACTGTAGTGCATGCAGCCAGCATCCATGGGGATTCCAGCGCATGCCCGGGGGACAGGGCGCTCAGGGTGTTGGGCGGGCAGCCAGTCAGTGCACGGGTCCACTTCCGAGCGACGGTTACCGCCACTATGGTACCCGGAAAGCGCTAGGCCGCGCTGGGCCCAGCTCCGAGCGTCGAGCGGGCTGCGTGCTGTCGTAGTGCCATGGACAGGCCACCTAATTAATAGCTGGCCTGTTAATGGCCTACGCTGCAGATGGGTCCCAGACGTCCACAGCGATGGGTGGAGCCGCCTCGGACTGCCTCTTGCATTCATGCCGGCACGCCTGCGTGTAGTCGACCAGCCCCAGCCCCAGCGTCAGCGCCCGTTTCGCTTTTAAATACGTCGCGTATCGCTCTCGCCCTACCGCCTGAGATCCCGGCCCTCTCTACCCACCAGCAGCCCGTCCTCTGCGACTGCTCTGCTGCTCCCACCCTCCCTCCATCCATACTAAAACACAAGCCCGCTGCTGCTGCTGCTGCCTCCAAGCCTCTTCTTCTCCTCCTCCTCCTCCCCGCCACCGCCTCCGCCGCCATCGCTAACCCCGTCCGTCCTCTGCTTTTGTTTCCCCGCCCTCTGCAGCCCGCCGCCACCCGCGCCGCGTCAACAGCGAGAGAGGCGTCCCCCCTCCACCGGCCCATGCCCAGCGCAAACGCGTCGTCGACTCTTCCACTCGCTGTCCCAATTGCTGCTGCCTTTTACTAGCAGCCGCCCCGGTCGCCCTCCCCCCTCCAAAAAAACCACCATCCACACGCCCCTCGCGCCCCTGAGGCTGGTCCAGAGACCAACATTGGCTCCAATGATCACGATGACATCGAATGGGTGAGTGCACCGCTCCTCCCCGCTCTGTGCGACCCTTTTTTAAATTTCCCGGCGGCAATGCGCCCTGTCCTGCCCTGTCCTGGCCCCTTCCCCCCCCCCCCACCGCCCGCCCTCGTCCTCACCAACCCACCCACCCACTCCCAGCCAATCTCCCCGCTAGGCAGCCAGACGACTAACGTTTTCTTCTTCCTCCCGCTCTAGACTGCCCGTGCCCGCTCAGAACAGCAACTACATGGAAAATGGCCGGTGGTATCATGGCTTCCGGAGAGGGCTCTACATGTACCCGTGCGACGAGGTAGGCAGCCGCCAGCCCATGGCACCACGATGCGCGCTGACCCGACACAGCCTGAAAAAGACCGCATGGACATTTACCATCAGTTTTTTGCCGTAGCACGGAGAGGCCAGCTGCACCAGGCGCCCGTGCCAGTCCAGCCACAGCTGCAGCCCCGCATCCTCGACGTAGGCTGTGGGACGGGCATCTGGGCAATTGACATGGCCGAGTAAGTTTGGTTCCGCAGCCTGCAATTTGCGTCTCGCAAGGCTAACCCCGACGGAACAGCAAATACCTAAACGCCGAGGTGCGCCCGCCTACAATCCGACGCATTGCTGCCAGACAGCTGACGTGACGCCTGCAGGTTCTGGGATTAGATCTCGTCAACATCCAGCCCGAGAAGTATGCTGCCTAGACGTGCATCCCCCCCATCCCCCCCAACCCGGTACTGACGCATGAGCGCAGGATTCCCCCCAACTTGCGCTTCCGTGTACCACGCGACTACGAGAGCCCATGGACGCTGGGCGAGGACTCGTGGGATCTGATCCACCTGCGAATGGCCTGCGGCAGCGTTACGAGCTGGCCAGAGCTGTACCAGAAAATCTACTCGTATGCAGTGCCCCATGCGCATCCCTAGCCACGGCTCTGCTAACCACATGCGCAGCCACCTCAAGCCAGGCACGGGCTGGATCGAGCACATTGAAATCGACATGGAGCCCCGCTGCGACGACTACACGCTCCCGCCAGACAGCATGCTCTGCAAGTGGTACGGGTGGCTAGCGGATGCCACGCAAAGAGCCTCGCGACCCATTGCATACGAGCATCGCACTCGGCAGCTGCTGCAAGCCGCGGGCTTCATTGATATCCAGGAAACGGTTATTCGCGTCCCCTACAACACATGGCCCAATGACCCGCACCAGAAGGATATTGGCAGGTGGTACAACCTGGGCTTGACCGAGGGCCTGGAGGCGCTAACGTTTGCCCCTCTGACCAGAGTCTACCAGTGGGACCTCAACGCGCATGTGCGGCCAATAATTGAGAGCGTGCGCAGAGAGCTCTGCAACCGCAAAATCCATGCGTACAACAACATGTAAGTAACGGGCCTTGGGCCGTCGCACCAATTGTTTGACGTTACTGGCGGATGCTAACGCCTTGTTCTATAGCCACATCTGGACAGCCCGGCGCCCACAGCAATAGAGCATGGCACGACGCTTGTAGGACTCTGTTCATCGATACTGTGGCCGGCCGTGTTTGCATTGCACATGAGGCGACACATGAGGCGACACAGCGGCCCATGCCACGACGTATTTCCACTCGCCTGGATCCGGTGCGTGCTCCGGTAGCCCTCTACTCAGCGCCCTGGATGCAGCGACCCGGTTATACGCCTAGACTTTTTTTTGTTTTTGTTTTGATTCGCGCTGTTGCCATGTTGTGCATTGGGCAGAACATTCTTGACCTCAGTGCTAGTCGATCGATTCCCCCAAAGGCGGCCGGGCGGGCACTTGAAGCTAGTCACATGTTCACGTCACGTCTTGGGCAGATGACCTGCATGACCTTTGGTACCTGCCCCCCCATGACGCATGGCAGGGCCGTGGACCACCTGGAGTTTTTTTTTTTTGATTTGATTTTCCTTTTTTGGTTTGCGTTTTCGGGCGACTACCCCAGTCTGGCGTCAAGGCATGTCTAAGAATATGATACCTCGGTTTCCTTATGATCAAAATCATGTCGTATTAGTATTTCTCTAGGGAAGGCCTGGCAGTCTGTTGTTTACAGGGTTGTTGAGGGGAAGGGGCATGTTCTTCTTTTGATTCTGCATATTTTTTTTTGGTTTTCTCTATTTTGGCAAATGGCGAACAAGGCCCATGATGCAGATGGGTGTTGGGCCGACGGCGGGGATTTTTTCTCCATGTTCACGTCTGATGTATGGTGGCTCGTTGACGAGCATTTTGGAGTTTTAGCGAGCGACTGGGATGACCGATGTCTTCAAAAATATACACGACACAAGCAGTCTATAACAGGGCGGGCTATAGCGAACCCCACTTTGTTCTATAGGCTTTTGACAGTGGCAAACAACGTCTGGACTAGGTGTACTCGCCGTGCCATGCATGTCGGCGCCACGCGTCATTGCCGACAGAGTGGATAAGTCCAGGATGTGGCAGGCTATGAAAAGGGCAGACATGGCATTGCAGACAGGAACCAGGCGGTTGAATGCAAGCGGCAGCGAGGGTTGGGCGCGTAGGGTTTCAGGAGTTTGTGCTGCCCCCTTCCCCCCTTCCCCCCCCCCTGGCTTTGTCCA